AGTTGGAGACTTCAATACCTTACTTTCCGTAATAGATAGAACAACTAGGCAAAAGAGGACTTGAAAAACACGCCATCCCCAAACAGCAGAATACACATTCTTCTCAAGAGCACATGGGACATTCTCCAGGATAGACCGTATGTTAAGCCACAAAATAAGTCTCAGTAAATTTAAAAAGATTAAACTCATACAAAATATCTTCTCTAACCACAACGGAATAAAACTGGAAATCAGTAACAGAAGGAAATCTGGAAAATTCACAAATATGTGGAAATTAAACACTACACTCTTAAACAATGACAGAAGAAATCACAAGGAGAATTAGAAAAGTAGTAACCAAGATATAGCTGAGGTGGCTACTTATGTAATGCAAAATAGAATTTATGTCAAAATTGTTATGAGAGACATAGAAGAGCATTTTACATAGAAAAAAAAGGGTCTATCCATAAGGAAGGTAAAAAAAATTATGTATGTACCTAAAAGCCAAAATATATAACGTAAAAATGGACAGAATTGAAGAGAGTTCTACAATAATAGTTGGAGACTTCAATACCTTACTTTCAGTAATAGATAGAACAACGAGGCAAAATATAAACAAGTAACAGAGGACTTGAAAAACACGCCATCCCCAAACAGCAGAATACACATTCTTCTCAAGAGCACATGGGACATTCTCCAGGATAGACCGTATGTTAAGCCACAAAATAAGTCTCAATAAATTTAAAAAGATTAAACTCATACAAAATATCTTCTCTAACCACAACGGAATAAAACTGGAAATCAGTAACAGAAGGAAATCTGGAAAATTCACAAATATGTGGAAATTAAACACTACACTCTTAAACAATGACAGAAGAAATCACAAGGAGAATTAGAAAAGTATAGCTGATAGAAGCTGCAATATACAAAGTGGAAGGAGAAATAAAAAGAAGGGTAGACTTATTTTGGATGGTGTAAACTTGAGAGCTACTCTCTATAGCAAATGGAACAAGCAACAGAGGTTTAATTATACATTACGAAACCAATCAAAAAACTATAGATATATAGTTTTTGGGGGAAAGAAGGTGAGTGAGCTGAATCCTCATCTATTATAGCAAGAAGTATAACTAAAAATCTTATAAATAAAAAGGCAGCATGATATACATTTAAAGACTTTGTAGAGGGAGTCAGTGAAGTACACTTAAAAAAAAGAGTAAAAGAAAAAGCAGGTGAATGTGATATCAAGAAAGTCAAAGAAAAAAGGCTTCAAACAATGAAGACGGTCAACTATGTCAAATGCTGTGAGGAGGTCAAGTAAAATAAGAACTTAAAATTCAGAAAGCCAATCTGGCTCCTCTGGTTAAGAGCCCCTAGTTTAGGAAAATACAAAGTATAATAAGCTATTTTAGAAATACTTCTAACTTTCAGATGTAAAAGATTTTACAGGAATTGGATAACCATAACCTAAACTGAAGAAAAATCTACAACCACTAGAAGTTATAAGTAACTGATTTTGCATTATAGTTTCTGCTAATCATTCACTGTCTATCCCTAAAGTTTTTTTTCCACCTTCATATATAAATATTTTCTGTGGCTCCTTGATATACTATTTTTACATCATTAAAAGAGTCGGACCAAGAGAATGTAAGAGTGTTTCCATGGTACTTTGAACTTACATTTGTACAAAGTAAATCTTTTGCCAGAAATTGTGGATCCCTTTCCCAATGATTAATTACTGCTCTCTCCATTTTCTCCATTGAACTCCACACATCACTTTTCCCATCTCTCCCAAAGTCTTCCTCTGTGCTCATTGCTTTAAAGCCTCTGACTTTGTGGAACTCCTAATAAAAATTCTGAGACTCTTGGCAGTCACTATATGGCACAACAATTTTTACTAACAGATACTTCCTCTTTCTCTTGGAACTGACTGCTTGTTTTTGAGACCATAAAAGTGAAGACTGTAAAATTTTAAATTATTCTAGAGGGTCACAGAATTTTTGGCCATAAGTTACTTTAAAAGTTCAAAACATCAGGACAGTCACATTAATAGTCTGGAATCCACCTATCAGAGATAATTTTGCCAGATAAAAGAACCATCTAATAAAAATGATCCTCCTGCATGCACTGCAGCTGCCAATACTAGTAAAATCTGAACAGTGAACAGCTCTGGAATAAGAGCACAGGATGCATGGCAGAGACTGGAAGGAAAGAAGGCTGGTCATTTGTTGGTCCCTGGTTTTTTTGGTCCCTGGCTCCACACCTAGTTCCACCATCAGTAACTTCAATGCCTACAATAATGGTTTCAACTGATCTTCTCTCCTCTGGTGACTTTCACTTCTACTCTTTTCTGACAACCCACTTCCATGGCCACAATAATGGCCTCCACATCGTACTGCTCTTAATGTCATTAGTTACATATATTCTACCTCTAAAATCAACTTCAAAATTGCACTCTGATCATAAATACCCACTACACCAGCTCATTATTAAAACCCTCTTTCTTCATATACTCATCTTCAACTTCATTTGTACTTCTAGTCCCCAAAATACTAATTTTTCTCCCAATCTGTTTTTTAATTCCTTAAAAATCTAGCCTAGACTGTATTTTTTCATTTTTCATCACACTTGAAATTTTTTATTTCTTGTATTTGTTCCCTTATCTCTTTGTTCTTTATCAGACACTTAGCTTCTCTACTGTTATAGCTATCTACTGTGTGCTCTTGGAATTCTCAACTATTCAGACTATAGCTACTACAATTACATGGTCTCTAACCTCACTTAGTTCCTCAAAATTTTCCTTCAGTCTTTCAACATTTCCCCAGTTAGCTCTCTCTGGATATCAAACAAGACCTGAAAAAATGGACAGACACACTATATTTCTTAAAGTGATATCATTATCATAACAATGTCAATTCTTCTGAAATTCATAATACACTTAAATATGATTTGAATAAGATCCTCAACATTTCTTTTCTGTTTAGATGGAATGATTTTAAAGTTCATATGGAAAAACAGGTATGACAATTAAAACTTGAAAACAACAGTGAAAGCACATTTCTCCTACTAGTTTTATTAAAACTTACCACAAAACTATCATAATCAAAAGATTCTGGTATTGGCATTAAAACAGGTAAGTAAATTAGTAGAATGGAATAGACAATCCAAAATACATATACATATTTATGGAAACAGCATAAACAAAGATGGCATTCTCATTAAAAAAGAAAGAGTAGCTAATTAAGAAAGGCTATTAGCAAATTGACTAGTCAATTGAAATAAAATTAAGTTAGACCTTTACTTAATACTGTATATAAAAATAAACTTCATGTATTAAGGTACTACTTTTAACAGCTTATTAAAATTTTAGAATAAAATTTCCTAGATTACTTTTATAAACTCAGAACTGGGAAACTTTCCTAAGGAAGATAGAAAAAAACATTTTTAAAACAGAGAAATCAGAAATAGAACCGATATGTATTATTTATAAATGTAAACCCCAATGCTATAAAGTTTTAACATCATAAAATGCTATAGTTCTAGCCAGGTAAAATTATATTTTGACTTTTAAATACTATTAAATATAGCTCTAGGGCTACATAAGAATGGTACATTAGTTATATAAATTATCACAATTAGAAATTTTATTCTTGTTGCTTTATTTATCTAGCTGAAAGAAATGAGAAGCTCTACATGTGGATTCCCAAGCGAGCTCAGGGAAATACATTGATTGATGTAAGTCAATCCTGTAACCAAAATTTAAAACATATTTCTCTAAATATATGTCAGACTCTGATTTCAGAAAATTTCCAAAACATTATTCTAATTCCTCTCAAATTACTTCCTTTATTACATTCTATGTATATGAAAGGCTTAAAGAATTTTAGCTAAAATCTTGAAATAAAAGCTATATATTATATTTAGTTTGAAAAGTATTTCAGAGTTTGGTTAAGGTAATAAGATCAATGTACTTCACCAAATTAAACAAAATTGAAATGTATTCTATTTTTGATTTGTAGGTTTTATTTTTAAATTTACACATAATTTAAAATTATATATATATTTAAATTATATATACACTATAAAGATATATATATGTTTTATGTCCCTCTCATTTAGCTGATTCCAATATTCTTTCTTGTGGGAAAAAGAAATATGTGAAGTCTAGATAGTATACTTAGAATTGCTCATAAATCTGGGGATATGCATCATGTGATACATGTGTCACAGAAGAAAAGGGGTTGTGAGCAACTGATAAATAACATAGATCACAACTGGAGTAATTATTTAGATTTTATGCCAAAATGTTTACTAATACTAGTTAAGGAGTAAGGTTTTGTGCTGGCTGCTGGGGATCCAACAGTGGTTGAGACAATCAGAATTCTTTTCCTCATGAAGCTTACATTCTAGTGGGAAAGACAGATACGAAACAATTAATTACCAACTAGTGCTTTAATCAGGGTTGTAGAAGGTACTAAGAAGAGGAAGCTCAGGGAATTATTGAGAGATAAAAGGGGTATCTGATCTAGTCTTTGGAGACAGGGAAGGCTTTTTTGTTGGGGGATGTGAGGTTTAAACTTAAGATCTCTAGGGGTAAGTTGGAGTTAGCTAGGGCAGGGAAGTAGTATCAGGGCAGAAAACAGCTGTTCCTATAAGAAACCTTCTGAAGTAGGAAGCAACTGAACTGAAAGAAAGTAAGAGACACTATGGCACCAGAAGGTGGGTTAGGGTGTGGGATCAAACAGATGAAGTGGACAGAGGGTCTCATAAGCTATAGTAAGTAATCTAGACCTTTTCCTACAAAAATCAAAAACCACTGAAGGGTTTTTTTAATTAGGAGAATTTTATGGTTAGATTTTTAAAATGTTTCCATCTTAACTTCGTAATTTAAATTCTAATTTCAGTAAGTTTTTCTTAGGAAAAAAACCTCTTTTAAAATACTTATATGTGAAATGGTTTCCCATTCCCACTCCGAATTCAATTCTCTAAAAATGCTAGTATCCTGAAAGAATACCATTGCATACCCTGTTTCCTCTGGAAATGCAGAGATGGTGCTTCCATTGATCTGACAGGGGTCCTGAGAAGGAGAATCAGAATCCTTTCTATCTGGATTTGTAGCAATATTGGCTACTCGTTGTTGCAAGTCCCACTTTCGAGCTACGTTGTTAATTGTTAACCTTTTCTTCTCCTATGAAAAAGTTAATTGTGATAAGAATTATACAATGCAATTTTTGTAGCAGAAAAGAGTACCCAAGGAGCATATTGTTTGTACCTTCTTATAATACTTTTAAAAGGAGACTATTCCTTACAAGTAGCTACCCAATACATATTCTAAAACAAAATTCAAGAGGTCTGTATTTACCCCGCGCATTCAAATATCTCAATAATGGTTTATAATCCTAAAGGAAAAAACAGTTACACAAAAATAATAATTACTCCTTAGGAACTTAATTTTATTAAAAATAAATATATAACACACTGGAGATTGAAAACTCACTATCTGAAAATTTAATTTGACAGAAATTTATATCTCTGTGTTTAAACATAGCAAGAAAAAACTAATAACATTGTGATTTTCCTAGCCAATAATTAGGACTAATATGGTAGAATAATCTTGGTGGAATGGGGGAAGGGGAGAGGGAAGAATTGATCAATCTTCCAAGTTTCACAGCATGAAGTGTAATGCCTGAAAATTAAAAGTTATTATCTAGACTACCAAAAGAATTGTGCTAGGTTGAAATGTTTCTAGATAAGTAGTACCTTTCTAGATGAATAGGAAAGAAAGTAATTCATTAAATGCAATGAATACCTTAGGGTACTGGTTCTCAAACTTTAGGTTACCTCGAATCACCTGAGGGCTTGTTAAAACAGACTGCTGAGCCTCACTCCATTCTGACTTAGTGTTTTTCCAGTAGGGCTCAAGAATTTGCACTTCTAACAAGCTCCCAGGTATTGCTAATGCTGCTGGTTCATGGACTTCACTTTGAGAACTACTGACTAATGGCATTAGGGCTCAATTCTATCACAGAAACCCTGTTGAGTAAAGCAGATCTAGACTTCTGAAAGAAACTGTGCTAGACTGAAATGTTTCCATTCAAATTATGTATATTTATTGGAAAAAATAACCTCTATTCTGATAAATTATGAAAAGTTAACATTTTAAATGGCATGTTAATTAGATCAGAATGATGAAAATAGACACTGTCCGTTTCCTCTTTACTAAGAATACAATCCTCCAGTGAAAAATAAGCTGAGTGTGATACTGACCCCTCTTCACTTGCTCATTCTGGAGCCAGGCAAGACTGTTAGGAAGATTCCCCATCCACTCCCTCAGTGCATATACACATGTAGAATGATTATTTTTAGTTGCACCTCTTTGCCTATGTTTGGTTACCTAAGATTTCAGAGTGTATGGATGGCCTGAACAGGAATGGAAAGTGATGTGGCTCGCCTAATTAAAACTAAACTTTTTCAAGTTCTATTTCTGTGTTTAAAATGTTTTTGGCCTGGGTTCTTTTTTCTATTCTTTAGTATTTCAAATTTGTCTGTAGAGTTAATTTAAGAGGGTTCCACTTACCACGCGTATAGTTTTGAGACTTTCTGACATTTTATGTATGTCCTCCTTATCTAAAGCAAGTAGGAATCTACTATTCTACTGTAAAAATTTGTTCCCTAATCTATAATAAAAAGACATCTCACCTTAAGGAATTCTATTTTAGTTATTTGCTAATGACTATGCCAACCCAATTTCTAATGTAAGCAATGCTGTTACTTTTACTCAATACCAAGGCCACTTCAAAAGAGGCAGAGGTAGTAAGTTAATGAAGAATGGCTATCATGCTGGTGCCATGCACTTGACAGGGGCAGGCAGAAAGAGATATTCTTAATGAGGCTGATGTAGCAGTGCTTAGAAAAAAGGCATAAAACATCTTTATACTGCTGAGTATGTTAACAAACTTATAATAAGACAGTCTTTGAAAATGCAAATACTTTCCTATACCCATGTCAAAGTCAAGCTTCCTTTACTTGGGTTGAATCAGATCAACACCAGGTTGACTAAGAGAATTGGTCATTTTACTGGAGCCAGAAAAAAGGAAGAGATATTTTAAGACAGGAGTGTAGCCTGGGGTCAGATGGGGATCACTGGCTGGCCAAGAGGCTACAAGAGGGCTCTCAGCATCAGTGGAGCAAGAAAAAAGAAACAAAAGAAAGGCTAGAGAATGCTACAGATTCTGCAAAGCAGAAGTGGGTATTCAGAGAAAAGTTTATTCTCAAAGATCATGGAGAAAGTTGGCATATCAGCTATAATTATACGTCAAATAGCTAAATGGCAATAAATAGCCAAGTCTGTGTTAAAGTGACAAATGTTTTAGAAGAGGCCAAATTTCAGCTTCTGCCTCTTGAGTCTATTCTTCATAAGTCCAGGCAAGACCACACCAGTATATGCCATAACTATCACTTCCTTCATTTCCAAGGTTGCAAGAAAAATAGACAGAGAAGCAACAAGGCAGAAAACATGTGTCTATGCACTCTTCCCGTCTCTCTATACCCAATCCATCCCATTTTCTTAGTGATCAATATGTGGAGTTGCATGAAGCAATCCTCAGCAAATGCTGAGGGTCTGTTGTATCACGACTCCAACTCTTGAGCCAGGGCTATAACCCGGGTCTCCTAATTCCCCATGCTTTTCCTCTTATTAAAAAATTTAAAAGGTAGGGCTGGCCCGGTGGCGCACTGGAGAGTGCGCCACTTGGGAGTGTGGCGGCGCTCCCGCTGAGGGGTCGGATCCCATGTGGAGACCGGTCCCCGCTCACTGGCTGAGCACGGTGCGGGTGCAACACCGATGGTTGCGATCCCGTTGCTGGTCCCTGGTACGGGCGCGACACTGAGGGTTGCAATCCCGTTACCGGTCAGTAAAAAAGACATAAAGAAAAAAAAAATTTAAAAGGTATATAATCCTCATAACTAAAGAGTCCTATTTAGTGACTTAAAGAGAAGCATTCTCTATTTTCCAAAATTTTCATAAAACTCTAAACATTTGAAAGAATATTTGCTAAAAATTTAATGGTACATTTCCCAAATACTGATGGTAAGAAGCAGCTAAATCGGGTACATAACAAAAAATGTTCAGTTGAAAGGTAAAGTCAAATGCAATTTGGTGCCTATACCAGGGTCTACTTAAATTGGCAACTTTATAGCTAAATCATCAATGGAATTTCTTTGTTTCTTCTTCCTTTCTATGCTCTAGGGCTCTCATAAAAGAGGGTTCTAGGTCTGAGAGCTTTACTCTATGTATTTTTATTTATTCATTCATTTATTCATTCGCTTCTGCATCTGAGAGCAGAAACTGCATGATAGAAAGTATTAGTTTTTCTAAATGAACAAATCAAAATGGTTTGCCAATGGCATTACCTGGCAATAGTAAATCTTGCTCCTATAAATTTAAAAAATACTGCCAACATCCCTATTTACTATAAACCAAGGTGTTTTGGGCCAACCCTTAGGGATGTTCCAGTATAGGAAAAATTAACCTGTTGGCTGAATCAGTAAAAAGATAGATATGTCAGGAGAGGGCTTAGGCACAGCTAAATAATGGGATAGGGGATAACAGATAAGAGCTTGGGAAGACTCAAGAGGTTAGAAATAATAGCAGGTGAGGAAATTATAGCATATTTAGTACCAATTAGCTCTAATTACTTTTGAAATTACAGTCCTGAGCTGAGAGGGCTTGGGAACAAGTTTGTTTTCCACTTTTGTTAATTTAGAAATAGTTTTCATAGAGCAAAACACAGATTTTAAGTGTGCTGTTTGATCAGTTTTGACAAATGCATATACCTATGTAACCCATACCCCTATCAAAATATAGAACATTTCTATCACCCCAGAAAGTTCCCTGGTTTCTGAAGGTTATGACACTTTGTACCCCTACAAGACATTTTTTGAATTTTGATTGCCATTTTAATTTTAAAGAGAAAAGCACCTATGTAAGATAAGAATGAGTAAGGGTAATTAGGGTGATATCCTTACTTTTAGAACACAGTATGATGCATTATTAGTATAGCTATAAACTTTAAGCTATCTTTATTTATTATACTTTGTGATGTTAATATAAAACACATTTTAAAATTCTATTTAAGGAAAGTAATATTGATATGCTAAAACACTTAAAGCCAATTTTAAACGAATTTTCATTCCCAAATTCCTCAAAATCTTTACCACTTTTATATCAGAGGAATTAATAGGTTAACTTTTTAAATTCAAAAAGCTAACATTAAAAAAAAAAAAAAACATGTAGCAAAGATCATCAAAATGTATCAGAAAAGGTGACATTCTATTGCAGTGCTTTCTGAAATAAAGCACACATGCCAAAAAGCTAAAATTAAAAAAAAAAAAAACATGTAGCAAAGATCATCAAAATGTATCAGAAAAGGTGACATTCTATTGCAGTGCTTTCTGAAATAAAGCACACATGCCATGGGATACACAAGATGATGCACTGGTATAAAAAGTGTTATAACTTCTATTACATTTATTTTTCATCTCTTTTAAAATTGTACATAAAACACATGCAAACACTAGAAATTTTAAAAGGAAGAGATGAAAAATAAATAAATAAATATATATATATATATAATGTACATTATACTGTATTTCCTAAACAGGTTTACTTATAGATAGTAACTTACAAAAGTTTTAGGAGTGCTTGTTTACAAAAAACATTCCACTGAGAGAAATGAAAAATTTACAAAGTTCAGAAACCACTTTTCCAGTAGACTGGCTAGCCACCTTCAGTGTATGTGTGCATATGTGCACATTGAAAATACCTTATTGAAAATACCTTAAGCAAAGATTGTTTCTGACTTTCCCGCTTCTTCTCTTCCTCTTTTTTTGCTACAACAGATGCCATACGCCTTTCTTCTTCCTAAAAGAAAATTTTCAAAAAGTATTATGATGAGTTTAACTATTTTTTAATGCTAAATATCTTTGTTCCTGGAAGTCTGGTTTTCTTTTTGAGAGGTATAGTACTTGCTAACAGAAAATATGCTCTCAAAGAAAAAGTTAGTATGTTTTTCTTTATTTTCATCTCCTCTCCTAATTCTGCATTCTTAACTATATTCTCTACTCTGGAAGTGAGATGAACCTATCTAACACAAGAAAGAAAAAAGCATATAAACAGAAGGAAGAAAAGGGGGAGCAGCAGGTTTGTATAATTTTTTTGTACACTATTACCAAGATTCCACATAGACTTAAACTCTCCATTATCAAGATGAAAAGGGTAAAAATAACACTTCTAACAATTTCAATTTGATCTACGGTTGCAAATCAGAGCTTTTTTGATGATGATGAAAGCCTTTTAAATCTCTCCATTGATGTTAATAAATTATTCCCCATCAATATCATTAATTTTACTTTTTTTTGAAGTTGATCTGGCCAGTCTCATTTCTTAAATTCTAAAAGCTATGAAATATAGCCTGGTGACTATAGTTAACCGTCCTGTATTGTAAACTTGAAATTTGATAAGAGAGTAGATCTTAAATGTTCTCGCTACAAACAACAACAATAACAAAAATAAAACAAAACAAAAAAACCAGGTGAAGTATTAACTAACTTAATTGTGGTAATCATTTCACAATATGTATGTATATTAAATCATCACTTTGTACACCTTAAATTTATAAAATTTTATTTGCAAGTATACCTCAATAAAACTTGGGAAAAATAAAACCCATGAAATAACGTTACCAACAGTTTACAAAATTTTAAAAAATCAGTTATTATCACAACACCCTCACCTGAATCTCACAACTTCTGTGTATTGCCTTGCAATATTCACTATGAGCAGTTTTTTAAAAGTTGAAGTCCATATATACAATCTGGATCACATTTTCCCCTAAAGATTGTCAAATTTCAATCAAGTAAATTGTAATCATGTAACTTTTTGTTTTTATTACCAAAATTTTGTAGGTGCTCAAAATGATGTTACAACTTGAGAAAAAAAAATTTCTTCATAAAAGACAAGCTTGAAAATATCTTCAGAGATAGGAAACTATAAAAAAGTAACATATTTGAAGAATAACTCTTTTAAAAATAAAAATTACAAGAACTGTAATAAAAAATTCAATGAAGGGGGTATTCAATAGCAGATTATATACAACTGAAAAGAGAATCAGCCAACTGGAAAATAGATCAGGAGAAATTTTCCTATATGCTTTCATAGCACCCTATCCTTTCCCATCATAGCACTTAATCTGTTTCATTTTAATTATCTCTGGCACTACCCCTCCTGCCTCCTACCCCATACAGTAAGCTCTATGAATGTATGAACTATCTCAGCTCCTGCCACACAGTAGATACTCAACAAATGTACTTTAAGGAATGACCTAGATAATATACATCTTTATATATCTGTTTAATAATTTCCTAAAACTGGAACTGTTATATAAAATGGTAGACATAGTTCTGGGGCTTTTGATATGTTTGCAAATTGCCATCCATAAATGTAGTACTAATTTATACTCCTACCCCAAGTCAACATTTGATTTAAAGCCTGATAGACAGTCAAAAGAGCTGTTCACCAAATATTCCTGTGTCTTCACATGTCCAGGCCACATTGTGAGACACCACATTCTACCCCTTTGCATTAGGCCATGTGACTTGCTTTGGCCAATGTCATATAAACAAAAGTGACATGTATTCACTTCTGGGTAGAAGCTTACAAAGACAATGTAGGATACAGCTACTCTCTCTCTCACCTCTGCTACAGTGTCTGCAAAGCTCCAGATAATGGGCACTTTGCAGGCCTGAGTCCTACAACAGGACAGTAAAGCAAAGATCCCAGACCACACATCATGGGCAGATAGGTGTTAGAAGCCTGAAATAAACTTTGTTGCTTTAATCTACTGAGGTTAGAGAAGTTGTTACTGCAGCACAATCTAGCTTATTCTGATCAGTATATATACTATATTAGAATTAAGGAAGGTCAAAGAGGCTGTGACAACTTATTTTAGAGGGTGGGCCATCATACATGTTCCTGAAAATAAATAAAAAGAATAAAGTATATAAAAAATGCACAAATATAAAGTATCAGAGTTAAAAAGAAAACTATAAAAGCATCCACTATAAAATTAGAAAAGATTCTAATTTTAGAAAGGAGGAAACTAATATTCTGAGAATTTAATAACATACGTGAGGTCACAAAACTAGTGACAAAGTCAGTTGCCATGTCTTGCCATAAATAGAATTTGTAGTATTTTTTATAATAAAGATATATTTAAATTTATTTTACTGATTTTAGACAGACAAAAGGGAGGTTAGAATTCAGTAGTAATTGGTCATATGATTTAGTTTTTATAAAGCGAATGAAATTTAATGTGATTTTTCGTGAATTTAAAGTGTCTTATACAGTATGAAAAATAATTATTCTTAATTTTTAAAAACTAAGTAGAGGTGAGGAGGAGAAGTAAACTAAATAAAAATTCAGAACTTTGATTCCTGCCTTCACAAAATAATAATTATATTAAATTATTAATATATGGTTTAATAATTCTATTAAATTATTTTTATTGAGTAAATACTGATTTGGTACCTATGGGGCACAACCTATTTCAGAAAAAAATTTTTAAAAGAGCAAAGTATACTGATGTTCAATTGTTGACTCATCCATAAAATGTGAACCAGAAACAGACTGGTTACTCAAAGAGCCAGTTTCAAACAGTACTGGAAACTGTATGGATCACGTACTACACATACTTAAGAGATGATTTCATCAGATTTTCTAAAAGAATTTGAATTTCTAAAGGCAGTAGGGCTTTAAAAGGAAAGCTAAATCTTGGAAAACTGGATTTACACCAAATCAATTCAAATTTGAGTTTTTAAAGGAATTTATACATCTGATGGGTATATTTCAACCCAAATAGTTATAGAGTAACTAAACTTAGAAACAAAACTAAACCTCTAATTGTGAAGATAAGCTATAAATCTGTTGGTAAGAAGGAAAAAGCTGTAAAATTCTGGCATCTTCATGATGATGGTCCAATTTCTGGGACAAAAGCCATATATTTTATGTAGCAAAAGAAACGGATCTATCTGGGACATACACACACACAAAAATCTACTTTTTTCTTTACTTCAATTTGGCCTGAAGACCCAATCCAGAAATGATTTCAAGTTAATTAAGCAGTGCATTGATTTAATGGGTGTTTGATAACCTAAAGAATACTTTGTTAGCAGATTATTAAGACTCTAAAACAATGCATGTGTTATACGAGAAGTTATTTTGCCCCAAGATAAATAATAGTCCTAATATAGGTAGCAATTTATTATGTGGAATTTAAAAAATTAAATGGTAATGTGTGTTTTAACCACATTTAACCTTAGAATAGATAGTTATAAACAGACATTGTTTTCCCTGAATATATAAAATAATAAAACAGACTTTAAAATCACAGGTTTTTTGTTTTTTGCTTTTTCCTAGAAGAAGTGGTCAATATTTTTCATTCAAACAACCTCTTTTAACAGAGAAAACTGATTTTTCCAGGGTCACAGTTACTGTGAGAGTAAAGATTAAAAAAAAAAGATTAGAAAGCCTGACTTCTACTGGTCCAGGGATATTAGCTATTAAATACCGGGGGTAGAGGGGAGTGGGAGAGTCATAACAGATAAAGAAGGACATTATACAATGTGTCTATTCTCTCTTTTTTGAACAGGTGTGCAAACAGTTGAAGACCACTATAACATCTTTCTATATCTTCTCCTCTGTCAACCAATCACTCCAGATTCTCTAGAAATGCTCCAGTTTGTTGTCACCCCTTTAAAACTAATAACAGGTCAGGTGTAATCTGACCATTGAAGAAAAAAAGTGGGACTATCATCTCTATTTCCTTAATCTCTATTTCTATAAATAAATATTGTTTTAAGCTATATTAACTTTTAATAATCACATCTCATAATTAGCTCAATTTGAACTTACCAATTCCAATGCAAGTCATTTTCACACATATTGCTAAGTCTCATATTCTATAACCCTACATTTATGCTGAGAATGTTTTGTTTTATTGTTGTTATGGAGTAAAGTCTAGGATTTTCAACTTATATATTTTATTTACTCTAGACTAGTGGTCAGCAATTTTTTTTCTATACAGGGCCAGATAGTAAATATTTTAGGCTTTGTGGGCTATATATAACCACTATCTCATATTTTTCTTTGTTTTTCCTTTTTTGACAATGCTATAAAAATATAGAAAGCATTCTTATCTTAACAGGTGTACAAAAACAGGCTGCAGGATGGATTTGACTGGCAGGCTGTAGTTTGCCAAACCATGTTCTAGACTATTGAGCTACTTCTGGATTCTGATTTCATCAACCAATGTTTTAGGATCTCTAACTTCTCCATTTTCTGTCACTCACGTACTTTATCAGAATAACAAATATTTTCTCATATAGACATTAACAAAAATGTTGAATAGAATGGGCTAGAGGAAAAATCCTCATGGCACACCAGTACAGATTTTCCCAAAGGCTGGCATTAATTCATTACTTCGTGTTCTGTAGGTATACTTGAATCAAAAATCCACTTAACCATGTTGTCATACAACTTACTCAAAATGATGTCATAAAAGACATTATCAAATGCTTTGCTTAAATAGCAAAACTCTGTCTATAGCACTCTGCTGAGGTCTATTTATAATTTCTAAAATAGAAAATTATTTTGTCTGGCGTGAATTATTTTTAGTGAACTAATGCTGCCTCCTAGTGATCAATTCCTTAAGTACTCACAAACCATCTTTTAATAATCCAATTAAGATTTCTTTCATAAGCAACATCCAGTTAACTCACAATTTGTGGAATTTATATCCTTTCCTTTTGTGATAAAAATACAGATTAGTTCATCTTATCTTTCAGCTACTCTGTTATTCTATACTGCTTCCCAGATAAAACTTTCAGTGGTCTAGCAATTTACTCAGTGCTCTAGATAAAGGATTTGGCAAACTCCAACCTACAGGCCAAATTGAGTCTGCCACCTGTTTTTGTAAATAACATTTTACTGGAACAGAGTGATGCTCATTCATTTATGTATTGTCCACGCCTGTTTTCACACTACAATGGCAGAGTTGAGTAGTTTCAACAAAGACTTTATAGCCCCCAAAGCCTAAAATATTTGCTACCAGGCCCTTTACAGATAAAGTCTGCCAACCCTTGCACTAGATGGGCCTGGATTCATATTTATTTATTCACTTATCCTAGGCTTCATTCATCTTATTAAGATTCTTCTTATTAATCTTTATTCTACTCTTTACAGACTAAAACCCATTCTTCTTAAGAGAAACAACAAAAGCAAAATAGGAGTTGAGGTCAGCAATAGATGGCATCATATTATCTCTTGCCATTCCTCTGGATCAGATGCCCGGAATCTCTTACCCTGACTAATCTCCTTGTTTCTCAGCTCATCACCCATCCTACCCTCCCTAATTCATCCTCCAGGCTGCTACCCAGATAGACAGTCTTTTAAATAGGCAAATCCAATTTAATTACATTGAACTCTTCAAAAATCTAAACTCCTTACTATGACATAAAATGCCATAGCCCTTGCCTGTCAGACATCCTTGTCTCCCACTATTCTCCCCCATGTTTTGTATGTTTGTAGGTCATATAGTTTATTTACTCAGCTCTGCCATTGCAACATCAAAGCAGACATAGATAATACGTAATGAATTGGCATGGCTGTTTTCCAATGAAACTGTATTTACAAAAATGGGTAGTCAGTGTGTAGGAGTTGGTTATGACCCATTACATAAAAGTCCTTTAAAAGGTACATTTTTTTCCACACCAAAGTTACTAAAAAATTATAAACGAAAGATGAGGCTAAATACCATGAGTCAATACTGACATGAATAAATGAATACATTTTAACTACTCTTATGATAAATGGGATTACCAAGGGAAAGAGAATAACTCCATAAGGAGAAGCCTGGCAGACACCATCTTCATCAAAGTAAACATCATCAGTAAAGGGATAAATATGAATGACATACCACTTGATAGGATGCAATGAGAAGAATGCAAAATCACTTCTATGATGTTTATACCAAAGACATAGAAGTAAAAATTAACCATGAGGAAACACCAGAAAAATCTGAATTAAGGGTCATTCTACAAAATAACTGACCTGTAATCTTCATAAATGTCAAAGTCATGAAAGTCAAAGAAACACTGAGGAACTGTTCCAGAAAAATGATGACCATAGAGACATGACAAAAAAATGCATCTATATAACATTTATAATTCTGAACTGAATCATTTTCTATAAAGAACATCATTGAGATAATGGTAAAAGTTGAATGTAGTGTGAGAATTAGATGCCAGTAATTTTTCAGTGTTTATTTCCTGATTTTTTTGGCTAAATTGTAGTTATATAGGAGAGTGTCTTTGCTTACAGAAAATAAACACTGAAATGTTTAGGATTGTTGGGGAATGGAGTTAGCAGCTTACTCTTAAATAGTTCAAGAAAAAAACAGTTCTTTGTACTGTACTTACAAGTTTTCTGTAACTTTGAGATTGTTTCCAATTTTTTTTTTAATTTTTGATTTTTTAAGTTAAACAGAGGAGCAGATATGCCACATATTTATATCATATGTATAAATATATATCCTATCTCCCATATATATACTATATATTTATATGCTGTATATTTATATTTATAATCTCTGTAGATTTTTGTGCTCTATATTTAGCAGAAGAGCTAGGCCTGCTCCCATCCTAGGTGATCTTCCTCCATCTTCTTACCAGGCAAAAACACCCTATGGAATGTACAAGGACAATGATTATACACAGTATCATTCTGCTTTATTTAAGGCATGGAAATTAGGTAAATTTCACTCAGTCAACAAGCCTTTAGTGAACATTATTAAGGTCATCTACATTCTCAGTATTATGTGAGATAGGGAAGGAAAGGAAATAAACATTTATAGAACATCTGTACGTGTCAGGAGAGGTAGAAGAATGGTTTCTGCCATAAAGACTATATATATAATTGTGGGGCAGACAAGATTGGCACATAAATTCACTATTAGAAACATAACATATAATTAAGTACAAATTTATATAAATGGGTTAGCTCTGCATCTTACTCCACTCATCTCAACCTCATCAGGAAGAACAAATAAAAGTACCAATGATTTTTAACTAAGAAAGACATGAAGATAAGGATAGAGTCACCACAAAAGTGTTATGAAACAGTGTTGACAGTATGGATCTGAATAAGCTGAGAGGACAAAGAACCATATCTCCATCATGGAACACAGACAGAATCCTAGGAGCCTCCCGGTATTCATGAATTCATCCACGCTTTTAACTATTTACTAGCCATTGCAGATGTCCATGATATTGCTGAGGCATAATGAAAACTGTACACATTGGAAAGCTGGTATACAAAGAATAAGCCACTTGGCAATTAAGTAAGTGTAGCAGAATCCACATGAAAATTAGCAGTGTCTAGAAGAGAGAAAACAAGTGAAGGCTAGGGATATTTTTCTAGGTCAGAGATTATCACACTGAGGCTGTTAACAGATATTTTCTGAGAAAATAAAATATGCAAATAAATTCAGGATGCAATCAAAGTTAGGCAAATCTCTTTATTACAGAACTTATCGGAGCCCATAATATGCTACTATTCATTGTTCACTTAAAAAGAGGGGGTTATAATATGCAGCATTTCACTTAGATCAGAGGCCATATCAAAAAATCTGAGTGTAGGAAATACCTTAACATGGAGATGGGATGAATGAAACAAAGAGATCTATTTTCGGAGGTATAACATCAAAAACAACGATAACAACTCCATATAATGCTTCCTAGGAGCCTCACACTCTTCTAAGGTTTAGTACTTTATCTTTGCAACAACCCTATGACATGAGCACCATTTTATTTTGAAGAAAATAGGGTATAGAAAGATTAAGCAAATTGCCAAAGGTCATATGGCTAGAAAGTGGTCAAGCCAGGGTTGAAGCTAAGGCAGTCTGGCACCAGTGCCCATGTTCTTAACCATTACACTCTATAACTTAACAAAATTTTTACTTGTCCATTTCAGAACAAATTCTTAGTTGGATATTAAGCAAGAATGCAAAAAAAACCCATGATGATTAATTTAAATAGAAGGCTAGGAATTTAAAAATTCCTGTTCAACGAAATTGGGGATGGAGGCAGGTAATAAACTCTGTAATTGTAATTATGAAGTATACAGTCATGATAATCCACAGTTCATTAAAATTAAGAAACGTTTCAAGTGAAGAATATGCACCCTAATTTCCTAATCCTCACTAAGAAGATAATATGGTAAACACTTTGGAAGGGTTCTCACCGTGATTCTCTTCATATCTAGCTGGCGCAGCTGCATCATATTCTGAAGGACAGTGTGTTTGTACCATGACTCTTGAGCTATTGGATTGCCATCAAAAGTGATGTCTGAGAGGGAAGTAGAGTCAGCAAGGCAGGAAACACTGTCAAAACTGAAGAAGAGAGAAGCCACTGGATTATTCTGGAGACTTCAAATCATACTTTCATTTTTTTAATAGACTTTTTAAGATCAATTTTAGATTTGCAAAAAAAATTGAGAAGATAGAACAGAGAGTTCTCATAAACTCTGTACTCAGTTTCCCCTATTAACATCTTGTGTTAGTATAGTATATTTGTTACAGTTAATGAACTAATATCAATGCATTCTTACTAGCTAAAGTCCATCTTTTATTCAGATTTCCTTAGTTTTTACCTAACGTCCTTTTTCTGTTCTGGGATCCCATCCAGGATACCACATTACATTTAGTTGTCATATCTCCTTAGGCTCTTCTTAGCTGAGTTTCTCAGACTTTTCTTGCTTTTGATGACCTTGACAGTTTTGAGGAATACTCACCAGTTATTTTGCAGGGAGCCCTTCTGTTAGGATTTGCCTGATATCTTTCTCATGATTAGACTAGGGTTAAGGTACATACTATTAACACGACTTACCACTGTTAATGTTGACCTTGACCACCTTACTGAGGTAGTATTTTTCAGGTTTCTCCAATGTAAAGTTACTATTCCCTCCCCTCCTTTTCATACTGAACTCTTTGGAAGGAAGTCACCATATGCACACTTAGGGAGTGGGAAGTGAAGCCCCTCCTACTTGAGGGCAAAGTATCTACATAAATTATTTGGAATTTTTCTTTCTAGGAGATTTGTCTTTTTCTCCCATTTATTTATTTACATCAGTTTGAACTCACGGGTATTTGCTTTATACTTCGGGTTATAATTCAATACTACTTATTTTGTTGTTCAAACTGTTCCAGCTTTGGCCATTGGAAGCTCTTTCAATTGGCTCCTATGTCCCTTTGACTTCCAGCAATGTGGATTTTTTTCTTTAGTGCTTCCTTACCTTCTGGCACTACGAGAATATCTAGACTCATATTATGTATCTCCTGCCCCAGTCCTAGAATCAGCCATTTCATAATCAGTACGTAGGTGTACTTTTTGCTACTGTGGTGTCATTTCTTTTAGGCCCTCTTAGCTGACTGAGCAAGGAAATATATCTGTGTATACTAACCTGTTTATATATACCTATCTATAAAGATTTCTCTGTGTAACTAGCTCTGTCTATATTAAGCTCATGTGAGTTCATACTGATGTCTCCATCTATAATCCATTACCAAATGAATCATTCTAGCCTCTTCCCCTCGCTTACTAAACTCCTACTTCAACGAGGAGAAATATGGCTCCCACCATTTGCTATCTATTTACTTAACTGTTCAATTCCACTGTATATGTATAGAGGTATCAGAATTTTTTTTTCCCCCTTTTTGTCTTTTTTACTGACCGGCAATGGGATCGCAACCCTCGGTGTTGTGCCCGCACCGCGCTCAGCCAGTGAGCGGGAACTGGTCTCCACATGGGATCCGAACCCTCAGCGGGAGCGCCGCCGCACTCCCAGGCGGCGCACTCTCCAGTGCACCACCGGGCCGGCCCAGGTATCAGAATTTTTTAACTTGTATCCCTAATGAGAAACAACTTTACCAACTAAAGTATGATGGTTAGGTGTAATTCCTTTTGCATTTAGTCTTACAAACTCATTTCCAATGTTGCTTAGGTCAGTGCCTTTCCCTCCACTCCTTTAGGAAGGTCATTTCATACACATTTAAAATACAGTTAGATTCTCTTGTCATAGTCTGCATTCCTTTCTGGGATACATCAACCTCTGAAATGATATTTTTAAAATTTGCATACATTAAGGTTCACTCTTTATGCTGTAAAGTTCTATGGGTTTTGACAGATACATAATGCCATGTAACCACATTAAAGTATCATACAAGATAGTTTTATGGTCCTAAAAAAATCCCCTGTGCTTTAACCATTTAGCCCTCCTCCCCTTCCCGCAAATCCCTGGCAAGGACTAATCTTTTTTACTGTCTCTATAGTTCTGTCATTTCCAGAATGTCATATAGTTGGAATCATATAGTATGTGCTTTTTTTTTTTCAGACTGATTTCTTTCATGGAGCAATATACATTTAAGGTTCATTCATGTCTTTTTGTGGCTTAATAGCTCATTTATTTTTATCACTGAGTAATATTGCATTGTATGGATATACCACAGTTTCCTTATCCATTCACCTATTGAGGGTATCTTGGTTGCTTCTAGTTTTGGGGGATTATAAATAAAGCTGCTGTAAATATTAATTGATAGATTTTTGTACGGATATAAGTTTTCAACTCAATTGGGTAAATACCTAGGAGCACAAACACTTCCCATGGGGTGGGCTATTTGCTGGTCCCTTGTGATGATTCACTGGCCTCTAAGTGGTTCCTTTTTTTAGTTGTTGTGGCTCTTTGCTCCTATGTGGGTCCATGGAAATCCTGTTAGTGGTCTTGCTGGCCTGGGGGCCGAGGCCATCTTCTCCCCTGCCACCTCCAAGCAACTTCATACGAAAGGCACAGCAGTGGCTTTTGCCAGCTCCTGCTCCATGTACTCACCAGCTCCAGCCTTGAAGTGGTCAGGAATTGAAGCAGTCGGAGCAGTTCTTTCTTCCTCTCATCGTGGCTTCTCCTGCCTTCATGCACTCTGTAGGTCTCTCGTACTCTTCCCCTGAGCTCTAGCGCCCTAGTTTGGCTGTTATTGCTTTTTAATAGTTGTAAGTTGGTTGATTGTGGGAGAGGGTGATGCTGGGGACTGTCTATTCTGCCATCTTGATCCGAATCCTCTTAATATGTTTTAACAACAATTCCCTAATGACAAAGAATGTTGGGCATCTTTTCATATGCATATTTGCCATCTGTATATCTTCTTTGTGTTTTTAGCTCTTTTGCCCATTTTTAAATTGGATTCTTTGTTTTCGTAACTGTTGAGTTTAAGAATTTTTTTTTATACTATGGATACAAGTCCTTTATCAGATGTATGTTTTGCAAATATTTATCCCAGTCTATAGCTTGCCTTTTCATTATCTTAACAGTATCTTTCACAGGGCAGACGTTTTTTTTTTTTTTTTGTCCTTTTTGAGACCGGCCACACTGCACTCAGCCAGTGAGCGCTGTGAGTGCATTGGTCATCCCTATATAGGATCCGAACCCGCGGCAGGAGCGCTACTGCGCTCCTACCGCCGCACTCTCCCAAGTGCGCCACAGGCTCGGCCCGGCAGAAGTTTTAATTTTAATTATATCCAACTTATCAATTTTCTCTTTCCTGAATCATACTTTTGGTCTTGCATCTACAAGTTCATTGCCAAACCTAAGGTTACCTAGACTTTCTCCTAAGTTTTCTTCTACAAGTTTTACGGTTTTGTGTTTTACCTTTAGGTCTATGATCATTTTGAGCTATTTTAGTGAAAGGTATAAGGTCTGTGTCTATATTAATTTTTTTTCACATGGACACCCAATTGTCCCAGTACCGTTGTTGAAAATACTGTCCTTTCTCTATTGAATTGGCTTTGCGCCTGTATCAAAAATCACCAGACTATATTTGTGTGGACTTATTTATGAGCCTTTCATTGTGTTGCATTGATATACATGTCTATTATTTCACTGATATCATGTTGTCTTGATTACTGTAGCTTTATAGTATTTGTTATATAGCTTTGAAATGATTACAAACACATAGTTTGCTACATAAGTGACATACGTCTTGCTGTGATAAGAACATGGAGTGTAATCTCCCTTCCCATAAGACTGTTATGTCACACCTTATCAGACCACATATGTGAGTTACTGGCTTCAACTACTGGACTCCAAAATACAAACCCAGCATTTTGGCAGACAGATTGAGAGCTCAGGCTGTGGTAGGGCTACTCTCTTGTCAGCCTTTGAGCTGTTCTCTGAAGGCTCACCTGCCAACACTGACACTGCTTGCTAGTGTTGAGGGACCTTGCATGTAACATGGATCTCTACTGTGTTGGTCAAGACATCTCTCCCAAGAATCTCTCGTAGAAAGGTATGCCTCAAACTTTGATAAGGCTTTACATCCTCAGAGGCCTGCTTCCCTTCTACCTGAGCAAGCAGACTTTAATAATTGGACTCTAAATGAAACCAGAACTCACTGTGTGCTAATGAACACTCATCTATTGAGTGTATTCCCTGTGAGATTTGTTCTCGTCATTCTCCCTCTCTTTAAAGTTTATGAATAAAAAAAATCTCTATTTATGGAAATAAACTGTGTAATTCATGAAATCATACTTTGATCATCTTCTTATTTTAACCATACAAAACAATCTTGAAACAGTTGAGTGTGTGTCCTCCAGCTTTGTTTTTCTTCAGTATTGTGTCACTATTCTAGGTCTTGGCCTTTCTGTAGAAACTTTAGAATCCATTTGTTGATATCTATAAAATAACTGGGATCTTGATTGGGACTTTCATTTTTTTTTTTTAAAGAAGGTAATAATCACTTACCTAAATAATACCCCAGAGCAGCTTGGTGAAACTTATTTGTGTTAGAGTCATTCTCATTCAGTGACTGAAATAACTAATATAAATACTTAGGCCTAAAAAATACTTTACTTATTCCAGCGCTAGACTGAATATCCCTTCTCCCTGTGTTAAGAAAAGCTAGAGGATATAGAATATTTATGGAATAGAAACTAACCTATATGCTGACAATTAAAGTTGAGGCAAGTTCGATAGCAAGAACAAAGTTCACTGTTTTATACTGTCATACTTAAATATTTCTTCTATGTCTTCCTCAAACTAAAGGTAAAAAGATATCTGGCTATTAATTATTTTACCTCAGAGCTTATCTTTACCAATCTAAAAGGTAAGCCTCAGCCTAGCCGATTAGCTTAGTTGGTTAGAGTGCAGCCTTGTAACATCAAGGTCACGGGTTTGGATTCCCATATTAGCCAACCGCCAAAAATAAAAATAAAAGGTAAGCCTCACAATTTGTACACACATCTTGGTGTTTGAGACATGTTTAGATCGTTACGGTAAGACATTTTGTAACAGGCTAGTACAAGGGTACTTCAAAATGTTCATGGAAAGATAAAATCAAAAGATAAT